GTTTTACTGTCCATACCTTTGTATAGTCTCACTGCAGAGTCTCTTCTCACAATTAGAGGGCTTGGGCTATTAGTTCCCACGCGGGCCCAATGTGAATTAGGAACTTCACGCGATGTTTTCCTTCACCGAAAAGCTCATGGTAAATTTCAAATTAAATTTTGTACTTCATTCATTTCGTTCGTAACCAAGGTAAACGACTCGTTTTATGTGGAACTATATACGTTTTTACAATAAGATTCCGGAGCATATATTAAAATTATCAAATCCTAAGTTTAGAAACTACATTAAAAACATTTTGATTGAAAAGTCATATTGCAAAATTGAAGACTTACGTGTAAGATACAGATGTATGGAAACACGACATGGCCTAGGTTCCACGCAAATTTGATTTAAAGTTTATTCCATAGCATTTAAGTTTATTTGAAAAGAGCAATCCCTAGAGTTTCTTGCTCGTTCTTCTCGGGGAAGTCAGCGTAGTGAAAGAGCAGTAGCTAAATGTGTACATGTATAAATGTGTGATGTTTTCAAGTGTACATTTATTTTACCTATGGAATAAATGATTCTTTGACTGTGACTTTGACATTATACATAAATTCCCAACATTCTGAGAGGCAAGCCAGGATTCGAAGTCACGACCCTCTGCTGCAGAGGCGGTAGGTCAAACCATTAAGCTACCACGGCTATCCGCTAGGAATAAGCTTATTGTGAAGGCACCATTTCTCAATCTCGAACAGCACATTACCTAGCTTAGATCTAATTCCATTAAGGAAAGTAGTGATTTAGTCGTAAAAAAGTAGATTTAGTCGTTTCGAAGATACAACCATGTTTTATTGTCCACGCTGAAATAAGCTTTTTCCAGGGAGGATAGAAAACAGCCCTAAAATTTTGAAACGGCAGACCGACTAATCTAATTTTACCTTACTAATTTAATTTCATAAATTTTGACATTGGTCACGCTGGAACAAGCGACGCGAAAAAATACGACTTGTTACTACGTAGATACTTAACACCACATTCTCTATTTGTATTAATAACACTTTTGGGCACTTATCTCCTTTAGGAAACCTTCAAATTTGACGCTACGCTCATTTGGTGCAAACCGACTTAGGTAATTGTAATTTTGACAAAATGTAACATCTGTACCAAGATAAAGTGTTTACGTTTGAAAGAACAGGATATCGACGGTAATTTTAAACTTATAATATCTATATATAGTAAAAATACAGATTTTTTTATATGTCATAAATTTCAAATAAAATTAAAACATCTATTCAAATCCATTTCCTGTAACGTTACAAGTAGCACCAAATGAGCGAGCTATACCACCGTTAGATTAAAGGGCGTATGGGACATTTTTTAAAATTGTTATGCATACTGCCTTGATCAGTAAAAAGAAATCCGATCTGTCACTATTTTTATTTTTTTTCCTAGGTGGATAAGGTATGAGGTTATATAGATATTATTTAATTTCATTTCTTTAAACACATTTTCTCGCTTTTGTCACAAATACCCTTGGAACGAATGGCGGGCAATATAAAAGCGCTGCAGTGGCGCTAAGACTGCACTGACTGCACTTATAGATACTACTATAGTATTATAGTAAGCATATTATCTGTGCTATAGATATTGCATGAAAATTAGTGGTGCAGCGCTTGTATGAGCGTCCAGTTTGAAGGCGCTTAGAACAAGATTTAGAAGTATCACTATAATCTTTAACTAGGCGTTCACAAGGGAAAACCGCACTATTAATGCAAAAATTTTGTGAAATAAAACGAGCATGTGATAGTAACGTGATTTTATTAATAACAACCAAAAGCAATATTACGACATACGAAAATGGACTTCCCAGTCCAGCGAGTGCCGTCTAATTGTTCAGCCTCGCCAGCAGGCTTAGCATGTGCCCGAAGACAAAAGTTATCTCGATGACAGTTCCAAGAAGAGATAACTTTTGTCTTCGAGAGAAAATTGACATTTCGAAGAAGAATATATAGAAGAATAGGAATAAAGATAAATATGCTGAGCTGACTGCCAACCTTCACTAGTTGGAGAGGCACCTTAAGAAGAAAAGCAATATTATTTACTTAAAACTTAGCAAAACAATGTTAAACCCTTTCGGTGGTTATAGTAACGTTCAGTTCCAATTAATTTGAAACGAGGACATTTTCTTCTTTTTTAACCGACTTCAAAAAAGGAGGATGTTCTCAATTCGACTGTATGTTTTTTTTGCATGTATGTTACGCGATAACTCCGGTATTTGTGAACCGATTTCGTAGATTCTTTTTTGTTGGAAAGAGGGTATCTCCATAGTGGTTCCCTTTAATTTTGAAACGCTGAACGAGAGGTGGATGATTTTCTTCCAGCCAACCGGCTGTTCACGCATGAATAGCACCTAAATTTTATTATAAGAAGCTATTATTTTAATGGTCGATTTTGCTATTCTCCAATTCAATGCCTTTTTCTCTCTCAATATACTTTGAGTAGTGAAAACCGATTTTTATTACCTCCTGTATCAAGTCCCGTACAGTGGCGAACTAGGGGATCAATCCGGGTTTGCGCACTTTCCGGTAACCGATTTCAATAAAACTTGATAATATATGTAATTCCACGTACTTTTGAGGTCGGTTTTTTTAGTACTCGTTACTGAGATTATGTATTTAACCAATTGGTCACTGTATGTAACCGTAGCATTTTGTCATATGGGCAAGCCAGAGTTCGTTATCAATATTTGAAAATATTCAATACAAAAGTTTATTGAATATAACGAACTTTTACTATCATGATATTCAATTATATTTTTGAAATTACTCCACTATTTGGTAGCCGTAGTTGTAGAAGTAGGCTTAGTGAAGAAAAACTTTCATAGATTTGTCACAGATGGCGCTACGGCAAAGTCATTAAAACTAAAAACAAAAATCTGCAAGGAGTTTAAAGAGAAATTCTCGTAAGATATGATGGTTCGTTCCATAGCTCAGTTGGTATAGCGTCAGCCACAGTATGGCGAGGCCGCTGATTCGAGTTCAGCCGGATCGAAGGAATTTATCTTTGTGTAAGAAATTTGTATTAACAATTAAATACAAGACTTCATACTTGTCGAGTATGTTGTTTTTATTTCCAGTACAGTGACGATTATTATGATAACGTCTTGCGCGTATCTTTATTCGTCAAGAATCAAGAATACATTTCCGTTTTAATTGCGTAAAACTTTCTCCCTTGAAACAGGTTACGATTGTAGCGGAAAAGGTTTTTCCTTTCGAATATTACGTTTATCTTTTTATCTAATGGATGGCTATTTGTAAATAGGAATGTCTTGCTTTATTCATTTTGAAATCTTAAATGTCTTGCTTTTTTATTAAAATCCTAAATAAAAAAAATATTCCGTAAAAAAACATTGGGATACATTTATTTATTACGCAACACATTACACGAAAAAATGAACACTAACAAAAGTAATTAAACAGACAACAAAAAACAATACGGTTACTTAAAAAGTACTAAGTAATCTTATATAGCATATTGGTTTAAGAAAAAATATCTTGGAAATTATAGACATTCTTAATCTTAAAATTTATCTTCTAGGCGAACGTGTCACACGGCCACTTCATTACTTTCCATCAGACGAATTTACAGAAAAACATAAACCTATTTACACACACAATAAGGGTGAGGCCAGACGAGCGTAATTTTGTAAGTTGTGAGTCGCGTTTTTTTGAGTCTCGTAGTTTCCGTTCGACTGAAATTCGGTCGGACTGCCAAACGAATTTTATTCAGTTGCTTTTAAGCGTTTGTACGGGTGTTTGTGGCATACAGTGTAAAGGATCCATTAATAAACATGGCTGCATTTATGAAGGCATTAGATGGCGTTAGAAAAATATTTTTTTTATAATACCAACATAATAATATATAATAACAATATAATAACAAGTCGTGCGCTTAGTAGTAAGCGACACGCCTATCCATGACAGTTGCAGTGCCACTAAGAGCTTTCAATCGCAAATATCTGAGAGGACATAAGTTAACAAGTTCCATGAGTCCGTAATTTCACCAGCAACCTTACCCTACGAAAACGGAATGCAGTAATGCTCACATTATTGCTTGGCGGCTGAAATAGGTAAGGTGGTAGCACTTCCCTGAACAAACTCTTTTACAAGGGGCTCTCTCTACTGGTACTAGCTGGGTACATCCACACAATATGGAAATAGTAAAGTCTAAGCAGTTTCATATAGTATATGAAAATATATATGAACATCCAGATATATTTGTAAAATACCACCACATGCCAGTAAATGTTTCCATCGCCCCTCTCTCCACCCGTGTAAGCACGACCGAAGTTCGGTCGTAGTCTACAACTCATTTTACGTAGTCGTGTGGCACAAACAGGAATTTAATATGAACCAGAATACGCCGTAAGCGACTCAAACAACGCGACTCACAATTCTAAAGCAATAAATACATTGTTTCGATGACTGTGTGACTTGTACAGTTGGCATTGGGCCGTTTTTTTTTTCGAAAGTTCGGCTGGAAATGCGTTTACGATCAATGGATTACGCTATCGAGAGATGTTAACAACTCAATTTTGGTTTATTATTGATGACATGGATATCACTAACATGTGGTTTCACCAAGAAGGTGCCACAAGTCACACAGCCACCGAAACAATGAATTTGTTGCAAACCAAATTTTCCGATCGCATAATTTCACAAAATTCAGCCGTTAAGTCGCCAGCTCGACCATGTGATTTAACACCGCTGGATTATTTTTTATGGTTATGTTAAGAATAGTCTATACGGAGCCAATTGAATCGATTGCAGCCTTAAAACTCAAAATTCGTGAAGGATTAACGAAATAGACCCACCATTTTGTCAAAAAGTGATTAAAAACTTTGATGAAACAATTGACATCTCTAACTGTGGTCGTGGTGAGCATTTATAAGATATCATTTTTCATTCATAATTGCCAAGAATTTTTTTATAATACATTAAAAATGTTAATCATTGTCATCCAAATTTATTGTTTTATTTTGATTTACAAAACAAAGTTATTGTTGAAAAGCCCTATATTACGAAGTTTTAATCCACTCTAAGTTTAAATACCTACGACTCAGGCTCAACAAATACAGGATATTCTTCTGTATTATATAATTTAATATCATGTATACAATGGTTTAACCATTCCTTTGTAACATGTCTCGCATTTTTAGGCACTTTCTTAATAAGTTCTTGCATATTCTTAAAACTTATATTATTCCTGTTATGTACAACATAATCCACGTCCAAAAAACGTATTGACTTTATTACTTCTCCCCCATAAGCAATCCAATGACGCTCGAAGAACATTTGTTCGTCTTCAGAGAAGCTTATAAAATCGGGATAAAAACCTAGTTTTTTATTTAAAAAGACATCTGGCAAAGGATTATTTGGTAATAGTTGTAAGTCAGGTTCTTCATCATCTATATCGTTCGTTGACTCGTCTATAATTGTACTGCTGCTAGTGTCGCTAACAGATGAGCTAGAAGTGTTCATTTCTTTCTTAATTCTCTCTTTCTTAATATTGTCGACTGTGTTTTGTTTAGGAGATATTTCTTTCTTTATAAAAGTATCAAGTGTATTTATTTTGGCTTTCTTAGGGCTTTCCTTCATTTTCTTGCTCGGTGGTTCGTCAGATTCGGCGGTTGCGGCCAGTTTATTTAACAAAGACACGTCGGTCTTTTCCTTAGACGTTTTGTATAGGTTTACAAGCTCTTGTAAGTTGGTAGCTGTCTGCCAATCCTTGTCGTTCCTGATTCGTGTTATACGAGGAAATCTCACAGAAATACCATCAGCTGTATGTATGTTTGCTTTCGTTAGTTCCGTGCCTGTAAATAAATTTATTATTAACACGTCGTCCCAATATTTACGCAATCGATGTTGTTGTTTGTTTTCAACCGAAAGTACCTCACTGGCACAAGTGTATATCAAGTTTGAACATTGCGCCGTTATCATGACATAAGTGACAATTTGTGTATGTCGAAGGCCATCTTTTGAATGATAGTAGTTGGTTGATTTGATCTAATGCCTCTCACGTAGAGGGCCGTGGGTTCGAATCCCGGCTCGCACCTCTGAGTTTGAGAAATTTAAACATCGTGATGAAACCTGCACGTTGAAGAAGGTTCACAACCCTCGGAAAACATGTGAAGTCCCCAACCCGCATTGAAATCATTAATTGATGATGATAATGATGATGAGTTAAGCAAAAAGGGTCCAATCCACAAAATTATCAAAAAATTAGTTAAAAACAATAAATTAGTTAATAATAAATAATTAAAAAAAGTCTAACCTCGTAGATCAGCAAAAACGTTATAAGTTTTGAAAATAAAACAACAGTGAGAAATACTTTAAACTTCAAACTGCCATATCTCGAATGAATCTTGTAGGAAAAGGTAGCAATATTTCTTGTATGTATTATATAGAATTACAAGATTTTAGGAAAATCCAAATATACTTTGAGTGTTTCGAAGGAGTGGAGTCTAGCTCGACAAGGAGATCTGCTTACCGCTGCAATACGTGACAAGCCAATTACGGCCGTCTGGTCTATGTAAGAATAGAATGGACGTGTGTGGAGCCTTATGACAGAGATTTCAGGCATAACTTTACAGTTATACATCCTCTTCTCAACTCCGCATGTTTGACTATTGATGTTTAAATGATTATCACAAATTGCAGACTTCTTACCTCGGTATGATTTTTTTATATTTTCCTGATATTCCTGAACGATTACACGCTTTGTGATCACGGGTTGACTGGACAGCAGCAGATGACAGCTGCGGATACACACATACTGTATGTATACCCTCTTTCGCTATCGACGGTTACCTTCATCTCAATTACTTGTGGCATTACCATTATTACAACTCACTTTTTCTGACAAACCACACTCACTGTATCCACATAACTGAAGTCGAACCATTTTAGTTTATATTATTATTATGGACGTAAGCACTGAGCACCGAATTCAATGAAATAAAAACAAAAATGGTTCGACTTCAGTTTCGCGTGTGGGTAAAAAGAGTATGGTTTGTTGGAAAAAGTGAGTGACAATGGTAAAGCCACAAGTAATAAAGAAAGAGGGTACACAGATATCTCAGTTCATAAAGCTGTCCTCTGCCACTAGCCAGTCAATCCGTGAGCGTGGAGTGTGCACGTTACAAAATATGGGAAAAATAAAAAGAAATCATACCATGGTAAGAAACCTGAATTTGTGATAATTATTTAGTAAATATCCACGAAAACCTTCAAAATTTTAAAATGAATGTTTACACCATATGTAAGCCGTAAATGTTTACACTAACCTGTGATTTCCCAAACGGGCATACGCTTAGGGTCGGAAGCAACGAAATCTGGTACCATTCCTCTATTACAGTCAAACCACGAAGGAATCTTATTATATTCCTGCGAAATCTTTACCATCAGGGGTTCTAGCTCTTTCTGAAGCCTTTCTAAAGTGCAGTCGTCGTGGCCTGTATGTACTTTAGTTACGGTGACCCAACGGTTTCGGTTGGTGTCTAAACAACCCATTAGGAATACTGACATCATTCCTCCTTTCTTCCCGGTGCCTGGAATTAAAAAACAAATGTATGTACAGGAAAACTGCCAATTATTCATCTCCATGTATCAGGTCATGGTCATCATATTTTTTTGAACGCAACGCGATTTTACTTGTTTTACACCTTTCACATAGTTCGTTTTTACCAATTTTCTTATAAACTTCTTGGCCAAATATATTATTAAAGTAATATTGCATCTGAAAGACTTATAATTTAGTAATTAAAATGCTAATATACAAACATTATTGCGTTTACTACATTTTACACGATATTTGCATTTTCGCCCTGAAAAATTACATAGAAATCACATATGAGGTATTCACTCTACGACGACGATATGCTGCGTTGTAACTCTTTTTCAAAACCACTATTTTTCGAAATGGCCGCCATAAGTACACATTCTTTTTGTACTCCGAAACGTGAAAAACCAGCAAAGCCACAAGGCGAGCTGCAGCGGAAGGCGAAGCCCGGCCGGAATCCGACCCTGCCAAGCAGGCTGACTCCGACCCTGCCAAGCAGGCTGA